CACCAAATGACAGTCTGAATGGGCCAAAAGGTTTGAGTGCTTTGTGTAAGAAATCAAATGTCAGTCATATTAACATATTAAAGGAGAAAAATCATATGATCACCAGATGGGGAAAGAGCATGATAAAATTCAACAGCCAATCACAATAAAAACTAAACTAGAAATAGAAGAGAATTTCCTTAATCTGTTAGAAAATATCAGATACAGAAATATCACACTAAAACTTGAGAAGCATTTCTACTAAAAGCAGAAACAAAACTAGGATATCCACTCTCACTAGTGGAAGTCTTGAGGGAGAGAGATAAAAAATTGGAAAAGAACACAAAACTTGTCATTTTTGCCTTCACTGGAGATACGACTGCCTTCACAGTATTGCCTCCACTGATTCGCTTCCAGGTGAACCTACAAACTACTGGAGCTAAAAGACAGGCAAGCTTGCTAGATACAAAATCAATACACCAAAATTATTAGCATTTTTATACATCAGAAACAACGGATTTGAAAAGGTAATTTTAAAAAGGATGCCATTCACAACAACTAAACAAAAACTATCTAGAAATAAATCTAACCAAGAAGGTGCAACTATTACTGAGCAAACAATAAAACGCTGACGAAAGACATGAAGACCTAAATAAATGGGGAGATGGATCATAACAGTATAAAGATCTCAGGAGCTTAAACTCACCACGGAGGCTCACAGAAAAAGATGAGAGCTGGGACATTTAAAGTAGTTGGGAAGGGAAAAAGGAGGATAAAGGGAAAACCACACGGGAAGGTATGAAGGCAAGAAGGTCCACGGGTTGGTATGCATGGTAAGATTAGCCTAGCCAATCTAAAACACAGGACAGATGCTGAAGGACAGGGGAAAGGAAAATGGGGCCAGATTAGCAAGAATACTTGAGTGGTTATGACCTGATGTGGAAGGACCCAGGGATCATTGACAGTTTCTGAGCGTGGGAATAAGGCAATTAATCCTGGATGATTACTCTGGCCGCTGCAAGACAGGACAAAACCAAGGGCATCAAGGGAAACATACACAGAACCAGAGGCGACAGTCTTGCTTTTCTCTGGCTGATCAGACTAGTGGGAGTGGCATGTTTTACAAAGGATTCACAAACTAGAATATTCAGAGAAGGGTAACTAGCATGAACCTAAAATCTCGAAGAATGGGTGGAAGAAGCAGAGATGTTTAACCTAAAGAGACTGGTGGGGGTGGGGAGATAGAGAGAGGTATCAAGATAATGCTCTTCAAATATGTGAAGCCTTGTCATGTGGATTAGAATCACTCTTTGGGCTGGCCCAGTGGCGTGATGGTTAAGTTCAGGCACTCCACTTTGGTGGCCCGGGGTTTGCGGGTTTGGATCCCAAACACAGATCGACATGCTCCTCATCAAACGATGGTGTTGCAGCATCCCACATACAAAATAGAGGCAGAGCGGCACAGATGTTAACTCAGGGACAATCTTCCTCAAGCAAAGAGAGGAAAATTGGCAACAGATGTTAGCTCAGGGCCAATCTTCCTTGCCTCCCCACCCCCCCCGCCCCCAAAAAAAGTTAGACTTGCTCTTTAATATCAGGGAGTAGAACTCAGTAAGGAAAAATCAACCAAAAATGAAAGAGATTATCTGAAGAAATAGTGGGCCTGTTGTAATTGGAGGCAACCAAACATAAAATGGGTGTCCCCTTAGCAGTGGAGACTGAAGCATCAGCGTGTTAGTTGGACTAGAGAACCTAAAATAACTCTTCCAACTCAAAACCTACCATTTCTACACTAGCTAGCCTAGTGTAGCTAGTCCACGGGTGGAGTGAAAAGGATCTGCTCTAGGAACTTGGCAGCAGGAAGAGAAAGAACTTTTTGTAAGGTGAGGAATGGAGGCTTGATGTCTTAAAAGAGAAGCTAACGTTTACTGAGTGCTTGCTGCGAGCAAGGGAGCGCTCTAACTCTCTCACGAATGAACTCATGCTCTCCACAACCTTATAAAGCAGGAACTATTATTGTCCAGTTTATGTTGGGGAAACCGAGGTACAGAGCAGCTAAGTAGCTTGCCCAAGATTACAAAGCAGGTAAATATATGTGCCAGGCACACAGCAGCTAAATGAAATGGGGAATGAAGGAGAGAAATAATCAAAGATTATGTCAATATTTCAAACTGTGAAAAAGCCAGAGACAGGGAAAGGAGAAAGAAGTTAGGTGTTGGGCTGTGGATGGTGAGGAAGAGAAGAGGTAACGAGTCCAGACGTGATGGGTCTGAGATAGAGGGATGACAGAAGACGTTCAGTAGGCAAGTGACGGCAGGCAAGTGGAACACAGAGAAAGGGGCTCAAGGTAGTTTTGGAAGCTGTCAGCAAAAGAAGTGAACGTGACGGCATAACAAAGAACACACCTGCTAAGGGTGGGTTTCAAGAGCAGAGCAGAGAGGCAAGGCCTGAGCCCTGAGAAACAACCAGTAACCAAAAGAAGGGAAAACTAGCCAGTACAAACAGGAGGCATTAGATAGTGCCACTTCCCAACTGGTGCCCCAAGATACGGACCCCTTCAGCCCTGGGAGCAGCCAGCACCCAGAGCTGGTCACCTTCAGTCTGTGTAGGTTCTTTCTAAAAATAATTCCCTGTGTGTTACAACGTGAAGGAACACTGGAAAGTACTGAGACGCAGGATCCCAAAGCCAAGGGTGGAGGGATTAAAGAGGAAGTGATTAAGAGTACCAAGTGCTGCTGCTTCAAGAGGTAAGAAAAGCAACATGTGACCCCAGTCACAGTACGACAGGCAGCGTACACAGAGCCCCCAGCAGCACTGTCATGTTAGGCTTCCCGTCAAAACCTTCAAGTTTCCTTACAATTGTAGCTAAAACCCTACTGCAATTACAGAAGCTACTGCAGCGAAAGGAAGGGGAAAAGAGGCAGCAGGACCACAGGCACAAGTTTTCGAGACCGGGAGGACGGCAAACATTTTAATCCAAGAACGAATGAATGTATAAGCAACACAATCAGGTGCACTGGTTTTCAGATAGTGTTCCAGGAAATGACAACTGTAGGAAACAACCTGGAGGGTTCCAAAATGTGTGATGACAGCACACGTTTAACTTGTGACTGTTCATCACTTCCAAAACTTTTCCCATCACCTACCCTTCTGAGAGTAAACTAATCCCCATTTCTGAGAAGAAACTAAATCAGAGTTCAACTGATATCTTGTAACAGAGAAAGTGAACAATATCTGTGTCCTTATTGTCATTTTTTTAAGTACTTTAATGTATTAACTCATTTTTAACCCTCACAACGAAACCATGAGGTAGGTTCCCATTCTCAGATGTGGAAAGTGAAGCATGGAGAACTTAAATAACCTGCCCAAGTCCTCACAGCTTAAAAACGATGAAGCTGGTGTTCAAACCCAGGAGTCTGACCTCTTCAGCACTAGGACATGATGTCGCAGGTTAAAAGCTGGAGGAGAATTTAGGGACCATCTACTTCAACCCCACTGTTTTATAGATGAAATGCCTGAAGGCAAAGAGAAAGACTTGCCCAAGTTCATAGCTAGTAAACCATTTGACAGACGCAGAGTCAAGGCGAAAAGTAATGCTACCCACTTCTTTTTAACAAATGCAATGAGGAGGTGGAAGAACAGACGGCAAGAGAACATCCATGTTCCAGTTCCTTCTGAGTTGGGAATTTAATGAATGGCTTCAGCATCTCTCCTTAAATATTGAAAATTGTGTATTCTCCAATCAGTCACATCCATATTTATACCCAGCAAAAGTTTACTGCAAAACCAAATAAACTCACTCTGCAAAAGCACTCACAAAGTTAAGGATTATAACTGAATCAATGTCCTCCCAGGTTACCAGTGAGCTACAGCTGAAGTAGGTGGCTCGATTATATCATCTTACACTTTACGGCTGACTGATGCTGTTTTTAACCTGAGTGTTTCCTACAACTAAGTGACAGTAATTATTTTTGTTGACTCCTAAGCTAACACTAGGGAAACTTCCCGAGGCAGAGCAGCTGCCTTGTCTTAGTTGGGCAGTTTATGTCAAGGATACCTCCTTTTGGCTTAAAGAACTAAAAATCAATTACCATCTCAAAAAGGACAGAAGGGGCATTTTTTTCTTCTTTAATTTCCTTGATAAAGAATATAACCTTTGGGAAAGCATCTCTTCCCCAGAGCACCAGACTTTCACTGGCCACCTAGAAGATGCTAGAATACCTGCTTCTTATCAGAATTGGAGCTTGAAAGCATCAAGTTTGAAGGCACAAAAGCTTGGAAGAAAGACTTTCACTTGGAAATTTGATTGGCAAGACCTCCTGAAACCTCCACCGGCAATCTGAAATACCCTGAGCTTTGCCAGAAAACCCGTTTTTAAGTGAAATAAAGAGCCCTGAGAAATAATTTGTATACTCATGGTAACACTCATTTTTCCCCAAAATGAGCATTCTGGAAAAATTACTTGCAGACCAGGGTCAGGGTCTGACTCATGCCAGCAAACAGCCCCCCGCAAAGTCTGGAAGCTATAAAACGTCTGACGAGGGCCCCCTAAGCCTCTAGCTCCGACCTGCTGCTTCTGCGCCTCGTGGGGCGGCTTACTAATTCCGAATTTATTCCTGGCCCCCCCGCCCTCCTACTCTCAAAACTGCCAACCAGCAGCGCTCCAAGTCAGGAGGGGGTACGTGTCCACGCGGGGGGCCGGTTACGGAAAGTCCTTAAGGAGCCCTAGGCTTTAACCAGATTTAACACGGTGCACGCCGGGCACGGCACCATCAGCAGCAGCTCTGAAAACGCATGCTCTGTCTGACAAGTCAAAGTTTCAGGGATTCGAACGGCTGCAGAAAAATACTGGCAAAGGGATGTGGGCGAGGCCGAAACAAAACCCCGCAGGCCAGCCTGAGAGGCGAGGCGACGAGCAAGCGCGGGGGCTGCGGGTACGCGGGACCCACGCCCAGGCCCCGGGCCCAGGCCGGCCTGGGGGGTCCGGAGACCCCGGCCAGCTCCTCGGCAGCGCCACTCACCAGGAACTGGAGCATGGTGTCGGCCGGGAGGGCGCGAAGGGCGGCTGCAGCTCTGTGGCCCGGTACGAGGCCGCCTCCCGCAGCGCGAAGGGCGGACCCCGCCGTTAGCTTCCGGGTCACGCCCCGCCCCGCCCGCTCCTCGCACCGCCTCACCCGGAAGCCGCTCCGCGCGCTTCCGCGCCCCCTGGCGGAGCGCCCCGGGATTACCGCCTGAACTGTCAGACCGGCGGGAAGGCCTGTGAGGAGTAGCGGGTCCAAAACCGAGCTTTGAACGTTTGCATTCCGGGGCCCCAGTCCCAAATCCCGCTTGTGTAAACCTCGGTCGGGGCCCCGGACTCTGCGTTATTACCAGCATCCCAACCATTCTGATGCACAGCCAGGCTTAGGACTTCCTGACCTAGACTGCATGGGGGAGCGGAATCACCTGGTGATGCTTTTGCAACATACTCTACCAGGGCCCCACGCAGAATCTCTGGGAGGGGAGGAGCGTTGTATTTTTCAAAAGTTCCACGGATATGCTAGGTAACCTGCATGGAGCGCCTTTAATAGAGGTTAGGTGCTTAAGTAGTTAAGACGGAGGCCTTTGGAGTCTGTCACAGCTGGGTCCAGTTCATGACCGCCTTGCACTTCCTGGCAGCCGTGAGCAAGTTACTTAACCTTTCTGAAGTTTGCTTTCCTCCTCTGTAAATGGGGCTAGCACCAGCTCCCTTGCTGAATTGTGGCAGGGATCAAATGAGACAATGTGAAGGATCGGTAAATGCTTGTCATGTGTCTGGTGTGGGCAGTGAGCTCTGGAAGACCCCTCGGGTCCTCTCTCCACACAGAGCTACCCCCCATGCTGTGGGCCATCTCCTGCTCCTGGTCTTCAAATCTCTCAACAACCTCCACCAACATACACACTTATGAAGCAAGACCACCCTTTTCTCTTTGTTCTCAGCCTTCTAAATTCACCCGCATCCGCTTTATTGAGTAGAACTCTGGTTCCCAACAATAACCAAATCATATTAGCTTACACCATGTGGGAGTGTAATATAGAGATACAGGGGACAATGATAGAGAACAGGAAGGTGATCAGGGATTGAAGCAGCATTTTCTCTTCATTTCTGCTTTTCTCCATATATCTGCGTCATTGTTCTCTCTCTTTGCTTTCCAGTTTTTTCTGCTTTCCAGAATATGGCCACTGTAACTTACTTGAGTTTACTCATTCAGTGGTCCAACCAATAGAAAGACTGAATCACTCTTTCCTTGCCATTTTCAAATACCTGGTAAAGGAATGCTGATTGGTTAAGCTGGTGTCAGGTGCTCCCTGATCAATTATAGCTAGAAAGGGCAGGGTCTCTTTGAACTAAAGTGGCTACCAGGACGAAGGAGATGATGATAGATGGCTATAACACACTCTACTTTCTAACATGTCTAGTTTAAAACTTGACTCAGTCAAGTCTTGACCACTGCTTCTCAAACTTAACATGCATTCAAATCACCTAGGCATCTCCTCAAACTTCAGATTCTGATTCAGCATATCTGAGTTAGTGCCTGACATTATGCCTTTCTACTAAGCTCCCAAATGCTGCTGCTACTGATGGTCTGTGGACTATCTTTTGAGTTGCCAGACACCAGACTGTGAGTTACATGAGGGTGAGGACTTCATCTGTTCAGTTTACAACTCCATCCTCAGTGCCCAGCAAGTGCCTAGCACAGCCTCTGAACACCATAAATATTTATTGAAGTTCCTTGCATAAAACTTTATCTCCTTCTTACAGATATAGCCTTAAATGAAGCCTGTCTTTTCTTCTAAAGCCTTTTTGAAAGCTCTTTCTCCCATAACCCCAAATAACCACAAGTCATGGGGGAAAAAGGCAGATTCTTTTGCTACTTTGAGATTATTACTTAAATGTCCTCATATAAAAACACCTCCTTGGGCCTGCCCGGTGGTGCCGCGGTTAAGTTCGCACATTCCTCTCAGCGGCCGAGGGTTCCCTGGTTCAGATCCCGGGTGTGGACATGGCACCACTTGGCAAGCCAGGCTGTGGCAGGCGTCCCACATATAAAGTAGAGGAAGATGGGCATGGATGTTAGCTCAGGGCCAGTCTTCCTCAGCAAAAAGAGGAGGATTGACAGTAGTTAGCTCAGGGCTAATCTTCCTCAAAAACAAAAAAACAAAAAACAAACAAAAAAACCCTCATTTAAGATTCATGTCCTTCCTTTACTACTTCACAGTAACCTAATCTACTGAATTCCTAGGCAGTCCCCTCATTCACTGTAGGCTTTGACATCTAACAGCTTTCCTTTTAGCCCCAAGCTATTGTAATAATGGGTGACTTCAAAGGCCATCTATTCTTGTATTTTCTAGAATCCTTACCTCCAGTGACCTTCATCCTCACCCCAATTCAGCAATCCACTACCATGCTCACAACCCACACTTTGTTGTCTCCTGGACGTGCTCCACCTGTGAAGTAGTATATTTCCAAATCCTACCTCCTAACCCATCAACTCTTTGACCTTAGCCATATCTCAGTCTCTCAGCTGCTCCATATTCTCATAAGCTGGGAGTTCCCTCCTGATTTCACTCCTTTTCTAGCTGGTCAAAACCCTAGGAAATCAGAATTTCAATCAAGGAACATTAGCCTCAGTTCTCTTATTCATTGACCTTCTATGATACTTGCCTTTTAAAACTCTAAGTCATGATTAATCTGCCTTTTTCAGTCCCATACCAGTGATTCTGAGCAACAAATGGAGAAAAGATGGCTCATTCGGCAAATCACATTGATCTAACTAGGTTTGCTGGTATTTCTTCCACCTGGAAAAAAGAATAATTTTGGGTTTCTACTTCATACTTTACACACAAATATGTCAGATAAATAACAATTTAAAACAAAAAGAAACATTAAAATTGCTAGGGAAAATAGGGAGAAATTCTTTTATAATCTCCAAATTGTAGTTTTTCACATGACCAGCATAATACAAAATCCAGAAGCCACAAAAGAAAATATTTGTAAAATGAACTATATAGAAATAAAAAATTTCTGTATGGCAAAAAGAAAGAAATAAAAGCATAATTTGTAAAACAAGTGACAGACGAATTTCCTTTATAGAAAAAGCTCCTACAAATCAGTAGACCTACAATCCAACAAAAGGTGGTCAAAGGATGTGAAGTGCTCTTAGAAAAGGAAATACAAATAGCTCGAACATATGGAAAGATACTCAGTGGCATTCATACTAAGAGAGATGTAAATTACTACCATAATGAGGTATCATTTTTCTCCAGATTGGCAAAAATCAAAAAGCTTAATAACACACTGTATTGGAAAGAGTGGAGAAACAGGCACAGCTATACAGTACTGATAGTAATACAAATTGTTAAAACTTTCTTGGAGGACAATTTGACCAAAACTATCTTATGTTTAAATGAGCATACACTTTGTCTCAACAATTGTGTGAAACTGTGTATACTCAAAAACATTCATTAGAGCAAAAGATAGGAAACAGTGTTAATCAATAAGTAACTGATTAAAATAAATCATGCTATATAGATACATTGCAGTATTGTGTGTGTATTTGAGACAGAGAGAGGAGATTTTTGGGTGTTGATATAGAATGATCTTCATGATAAGTGAAAAAAGCAAGGTGTTGGTACAGGAAGAAGAAAAAAAGAAAAGGAAAACAACATTTGTACACATGGCAAAGGCCTAATTTCTTTTTTATAAAGAGCTCCTACAAATTTGAGGCATATAACAGAGGTAATATTATTGATCAGTGAGAAAGAATGGGCTACTCAGTAAATCATAAAAAGAAAATTGATTATTCATATGGGAGAAAAGAAAAGTAAAATTAGATCATACCATTCACAAAAGTCAATGCCAGAGAGACTAATGGCCTAATGAGGAGGCAACATTTTAAAACTGTCAAAAGATAATATAGAAGAGTATCTTTATGATCTCAGGTTGGAATAAAATTTAAGATAAAACATAAAGAACACACACCATCAAGGACAAGACAGATTTGACACATTAAAATGTAAAACTTCTACACCATAAAAAAGTTGAAGAGATAACCCAACAGACTGGGATAAAATATGTATAAACTGAAAAAAGCCATTCTGAATTTATAATTACCTCCTACACATCAAAAGGAAAAGACAACCCAATAGAAAAACGGATAAAGCTTATAAACGGAGGGAAAAAAAAGAACGATCAACAATACACAAAATATTGCAAATCAATAGAGATACCATTTTACAGCCATTGGATTGGCAAAAAAATTAAAAGTATGACATGATTGTCTATGTAGAAAATGCGAAAGAATCAACAAAAAAAATTCCTGGAACTAGTAAGTGATTATAGAAAGGTTGCAGGATACAAATTTAACATAAAAAAATCAATTGCTTTCCTATATATCAACAATTAATAAGTGGAATTTGAAATTAAAAACACAGTACCAATTACATTAACACCCCAAAAATGAAATACTTAAATATAAATCTAATGAAATATGTACAAGATCTATATGAGGAAAACCAGAAAAGTTGGATGAACAAAATCAAAGAACTAAATAAATGGAGAGGTATTCCATGTTCATGGATAGAAAGATGCAATATTATCAAGATGTTAGCTTTTCCCAACTTGATCCATAGAGTCAATGCAATCTCAATCAAAATCTCAGCAAGGTATTTTATGGATATCAACAAACTGATTCTGAAGTTTATATGGAAAGACAAAGGACCCAGATTAGCCAATGCCATATTGAAGAAGAACAAAGTTGGAGAATGAATGCTACCCAACTTCAAGATTTACTAGAAAGTTACAGTAATCAAGACAGTGTGGTATTGGCAAAAGAATAGACAGATAGATCAATGAAACAGACTAGAAAGCCCAGAAATAGACCCTCATAAATATAGTCAACTGATCTTTGACAAAGGAGCAAAAGCAGTACAACAGAGCAAAGACTGTGTTTTCAGCAAAATGGTGCTGGAACAACTGGACATCCACATGCAAAAAACAGAATCCAGACACAGACCTTATACCCTTCACAAAAATTAAAATGGACCATAGACCTAAAGTTAAAACACAAAACTATAAAACTCCTAGAAGATAACATAGGAGAAAACCTAGATGACCTTAGGTATGGTGATGCCTTTTTAGAGACAATACCAAACTCATGAATCCATGAATGAAATAATTGATAAGCTGGACTCATTAAAATTAAAAACTTCTGCTCTGAAAAATGCAATATCAAGAGTTAGAAGACAAGCTGCTGACTTGAGAAAATATTGCAAAAGATGCATCTGATAAAGAACTGTTATCCAAAATATACAAAGAACTCTTAAAAATCAACAATAAGAAAACAAACAACCTGATTAAAAAATGAGCTAGAGATCCAAACAGATACCTCACCAAAGGAGATATATAGATGACAAATAAACATGAAAAGATGTCCATGTCATATGTCATCAGGGAAATGCAAATTAAAACAATGAGATACAACTCTACACCAATTAGAATGGCCAAAATTCAGAACACTGATAACACCAAATGCTGACAGGGATGTGGAGCAATAGAAGTCTCACACATTGCTGATGGGAATGCAAAACGGTACAGCCACTTTGGAAGACAGTTTGACAGTTCCTTACAAAACTAAACATACTCTTACCATATGATCCAGCAATTGCCCTCCTTGGTATCTGCCCAAAGGAGTTTAAAACCTATGTCCACACAAAAACCTCCAGAGGGATGTTCAGAGCAGCTTTGTTCATAATTGCCGAAACTTGGAAACAACCAAGATGTCCTTCAGTAGGTGAATGGATAAATAAACTGTGGTACATCCAGACAATGGGATAATATTCGGCACTAAAAAAAAAAAAAAAAAAAGAAAAAGAGAAAAAAAAAGAGCTCTCAAGCCATGAAAAGACGTGGAGGAAGAAGCTAATCTGAAAAGGCTACATACTATATGATTCCAACTGTACGAAATTCTGGAAAAGGCAAATCTTTGGAAACAATAAAAAGATCATTGGTTGTCAGAGGAGATTGAGAAATGAATAGGCAGAGTGCAGAGGATTTTTAGGGTAGTAAAAGTTCTCTGTATTACAATGATGGATATGCCATTATACATTTGTCCAAACCCACAGAATGCACAACACCAAGAGTAAACCCTAAGGTAAAAACCATGGGCTTTGGGTGATTATGATGTGTCAACGTAGGACCATCCTTCGTACAAATGTATGGTTCTGATGAGTGATGTTGATAATGGGGAAGGCTACGCGTATGTGGGGGCAGTGGGTATATGAGAAATCTCTGTATCTTCCTCTCAATTTTATTGTAAACCCAGAACAGCTCTAAAAAATGAAGTCTTTAGGAAAAATAAAGTATGACAATTGGAACTGTTACTGATGGTATGGACAAGCAGAAACTCTTAGTCCATTGGGTAGGAGTAAATTGGTGCAACCACTAAGAAAAATATTGCAATATTTTAGTGAAATTAAAGCTCTTAATCTCTCCCTCAGGATTTCCATTTCTAGCTATATAATCCAGAGAAGCCCTTACATGT